GTTAGCAAACGTTTTTGTGAGTTTGAATTGCTGGCCATACTTGACCAGTGAGCTAGACTTGTGTTGTTAAGACGACTGGTAAGTTTTCAGCCACAATTGAAATTGTTACTTCTCGTTTACCCAAAAGTAACAATTTTCTCAAGTGTTAGAATTGTCAGAAATGTTTGGTGTGCGTGGTTTACTTAGGCTATCTGAGCGTCCTGAGCAGTTTCAGCCAAAGTTGTAGGGTTAGCCTTTTTGCAAGGGCACCTAAGACTAACATCGCCTAAGATAAACATGTGTAATTGTGGCAAGTATTTTGCGTACGTACCAATTTAGTGTAGATTGTGCGATCGTGCGAGTTTTGCGTACAATTGGGGTTTAGCCATACTAACCGGCTGTGAACTCAAGGTATTAAGTAATCATGAAAATTTAATTGTTGGCGAAACTTGGTGAGTGAAGAGGATTTCAGTAAAAAAGGAGAATTACAAAATTTCAGCTACAATTGGGGTGTTAAATACTTACCTCGACTTGTTGAGAAAAAACCTAACCCTGGATTAGAATGTAATTGTTCGAGATATTGTGCGTGTGGAATAGTCGGCAATTGAGAAAACACCACACCAAGTTTGGCCCACACTTGGTATGTTAGGTACTTACCTCGGGTTGTCAAGCCAGATCTTAACTCTGGGGTAAAAATGTAATTGTCAACGAAACTGCTAGAAAATAATACAGATACGAAGTGGTTTTAATATGCAGTAAAAAAAATTATGTTGTACAGTTTTTACAGTTGTATATGCTAAATTACAAAGTGAAAAATAACGTTGCAGACCGATCGCGTCATTGCGATACGCGTCNCAAGAAACGACGCAATAATCTATCAATAAAGTGAGTTTTTTCAGAATGTATATATTTATATATATTTATTTATACACGTATTTATAATGTACTCGAAAACTATAAAATATGAGTGGTTACGAGTGGCCACTTAGCATGCGAGCTCTTCTTCTATTATCTTAGCGCAAACCGAGCTTTGTTTTATTCGCGCGCGACCATACATAACCCGTCTTACTTGTTACGTACGTTGCGATTTAAAGCGACAGTGACAGTTTAAAGGACAGTGTAAAGTTGAAGAATATAGTATATTATAATACATAGTATACATATTTAGTATATTTTTGTGTATTACAGTTTTTTATAAATAATAGTAGTTCGTATTTAAGTAGTGAATAGTAAAATGGGAAACTACAAGAAATCTATAAACAAGAAATCTCTCTCAAGTCATAGAGTGTCTCGAAAACTAGCAGCGAAAAGGTATGTAAAGAACATTCATGTAGTAAATACATT